TGCGTGTACAACCCCTTCGTCGCTGTCGTGTTTTTCCCCGCGACCCCGTGGGTTCTTCTGCGCGCTCCGATGTTCATAGCCTTGCAGATTTCCACCCGCCAGTTCTACGGATTAGTACGTAGCCCAGGTGGTGCAACTCGCGGCGGTCCGAGAAGCTTTCCCCGAGCCGACCTCTTTCTTTTTCTCTATCTGCCTCCTCCTTGGCCAGTGCTCCGCATGGCGGATTCACATGGTTAGGGGAACGAAGAATCACATAACCATAACAATTCGGAGGTCCGCGCGAATTTCTTGGATCGGCGCTGGGGCTCCCTGGCGGCGCCTCGGGCGCCGCCCCTGGCGCGCTCCGCGTGCCAGGGAGGGGGGTCCAGCGCGGATCCAAGAAATCCGCGCGGAGCTCCGAGTTTTTCTGTTTATGCTATGGGTTCTTCCCCTAATGGTGGGGAACCCAGCGCCTGGACCGAGCAAGAGTGACACAGAGGCCCACGAGAGGCGGGGAAGTCACATGTCCTTCCCTCAACGTTTGATTGAGGCTTACGTCATTGCGCCGACCCCCTAGGATGAAGTCGGGCATGTCCCTCTACAGGAGGAATATTCGCAAATAGTGAAAAAGTATAGTCTGGGGACGAGCTTTTACTATGTTTGACTATTTTGAAGCATTTGTTGCGAATTTTTGATTGTTCGTCCAAAATCCGCTTGTACGACCTGACCCTGGGAAAGATCTTACAGACTGGATGGAAAGAACGCAGGAGGGGAGAAGGACGTGGAGGGGGAGGAGGGCAATGAGCAGGAAGGTGTTTTTTGAACGTTTTTTGGGGGTTTGCTTGGGAGCCTCTCGGGCGTCTCTTGAGGGCCTCTGGGAGGGTTCTGGGGGGTCTCTGGGGGCCTCCTGCGGACGCCTCGGGGGCTTCGGGGCTCGTGGGGCCATGTTGGAGCGAAAGGCTCGAATATCAGTTCGTATTCCCAGTGTTGGGCCCCTCGTGGGGGTCTCTTCGGTGACTCTTCGGCGATCTTGTGCTGCTTTGGGGCCGTGTTGGAGCCCTCTTGGCCCATCTTGGAGCCTTCTTGGGGCACTCATGGGCCGTCTTTTGACGATCTTGGGTTCTTTTTGGGCCGTCTTGCACGGTGTCAAGGCGAAGAAGGCGAGTAGGGCAGTCTTGCACGTTGTCCGATGGAAATGAGACGAGGTTTGCTCCTCCAGGCCTTCCTCGTTGGCCCTTCAAGAAAACATGTGGGCCTTCTTGGAAGCCTCGTGGGCTGTCTCGAGGCAATATTTGACCGTCGTGGGGCTACCTAAGGCCATCTCGACACTCTGCGAATGTCTTGGCGCTCTGTTTTGGCTCCCTCGCGCAGCCGTGCAGGGCTTGTCGGAGGCTCCAGAGGCCCTGGGGGTGCGCTGGCGAGCTCGTCTTGCAGGCGCTTTGGGCTGTCTGGAGGCCATCTTTGGCGTCTTGGATCGCTCGTGGGCCGTCTCGGGCCATGTTGAGCTCTCTTGGAGGCCACTTGAAGCTCTCCTGGAAGGCTCTCGGCAGCCTGCTGGAACCTGGCCGGGACTGGCCAGGACCTGGCAAGGACCTGGCCGAGACTTGCAGGGGTACTTTCCGTCTGGGGACCCAGGGGCGGCCCCGTGAACTAGAATATAGTTAACCAGTCACCGGGGATCTTAGCACGCCCTTGGCGCGTTGGGCTGGCATTTTTTTATGATTTTCCAATTCTCACCCAACCTGTCGGGGGACATGCCCGACCTAAGAGTAGATGGGATCGGAGGATCGCGCCGCATCGCGAAGGCATCGCCGATGCGGCCTGATGTGAAGCCCGCTCTGCTTCACGTCGACCTCGCCGATGCATCGCCGACGTCGACGATGCATCGCCGGTGCATCGCCGATGCATCGCCGATGCGGCGCGATCCTCCGACCCCATCTCCTCCGACCCCTATCAAGGAGGCCTCCAACAGTGGAGCGAGCCCGCGGGTGAAGGGTCCGCGCGGTCGGGAGGGGTACAGGGGCCGATGCTGGGCGGGGTCGCCTCCCCCCTCGGGATCGATGTGCTCGAGGTCCATCCAGTTCAGGCCCCCTGGCTGCCTTTATGTCGGGCGTGTCCCCCTACAGGGGGATTTTCGACGAAAAATAAAGCATACCTCAAAAATACCCCAAAAAGGTAAAAAGATACCCCAAAAATAGTCCCCATATTATTTTTATAGCATTTTTGGAATATTTTTGTGGTATTTTCTTATTTTCGTCGAAAATCCCCCTGTAGGGGGACAGGCCCGACTTAAGGCTGCCTCCAACTTCCCGACAGCCGATGATTCAGGAGAGCGCCGGCCGAGCGCTCGGTCGACATGGAGTGACACATGGAGGTGCCGCGGCCGGCGCTTCTGGGGGCAGGGGCCGGCCCAAGCAGTGCCTCTTGGCGAGCTCGTGGGCCGCGTTTGCTTCGGTGTCGTTTTGCGGCAAGGGCGGATGGAAGACAGAACGATCATGTCGGGCGTGTCCCCCTACAGGGGGATTTTTTACGAAAAATAAAAGAAAACACCAAAAATACCCCAAAAAGGTAAACAAACATATTCAACAAATAGTCCCCAGACTATTTTTGGACAATTTTTTCTATTTTTGGGATATATTTTTTTCGTCGGAAACCCCCCTGTAGGGGGACACGCCCGACTTAACAGAACGATGGAAAACGAACACAATACGAAAAACGAGAAAGCCTGTAGGCAAAAAACGAAACCCGAGAAGACAGAACGAGGGAGCAGGAAGACAAGAGGAAAAACAAGAAAACAGAACGAGGGAGCACGAAAGCAAAACGAGAAACGAGAAAATGACGAGGGAGCACGAAAGCAAAACGAAACGCGGCAAACCCTATTGGGGTCGGTCCCTGCATGGGGAACGCGTCAGAAGCCGACGCCGGGACCGTCACGGCACGAGCCACGCCGAGCTCCGGAGGCAGGCCCAATGGTCGCCTTGAGCAATTCGTTTGTTTTTCTTCCGATGTTTCTCCTTGTCTTCTCTCCTCGTTCGGTGTCGCCGCGTGTGCAAGTACAGTCCGGGCCCTGAAGAAGGAACCCTTTTGGTTGGGGAGGGGCTCCGCGTTCCTTAGGTGTTTCACAGCTTGCCTCGGGTTTCCCGCAGGTTTTCGATAGCAAATCGCAGGTTAGCTTATGGAAAAAAGGGGCCTCGTTCCTTATTTGGGGTTCCTTAGGTCAACGCCCCGACTGTAATGCTGCTCTCGCAGACCAGGGGAACAACGGATGCAGGGCGAACATTTGCGCCGGGTGGGCCCCGGGGGAGGCTCCGGGGGCCGATCTGGAGCGGACTCGGCCCCATCCCCCCCCCTCCCGACCGCGTTCCTGGCGCCCCGGCCAGCGCGTGCCCCCCGGCGACCTCCGACATCCTCCAGACCCGCCGGCTCTCCGACGGAGTCTCCGACATTGCTGAGTTCTCCTCGTCCACATGCGTATATCTGTACACATAGATCCGTATACGTCTATCGATATATTTATCGATCGATCTACACACATGTATATATTGACAGCGAGGCCAAAAAGACAAGCGAGGCCAAAAACTCGATGGGTCGATGATATATGCAGGCACGTGGAGCTACTTGTGGTCATAGGCTGGCGGGACAGATGAGTGGCTCGGCGTGGCCAGAGCATCAAAGCGGAATGAGCTGGAGACTAGTGCTGTACATCATGAATGAGGTTGTTCGCCGTGCTACCCTTACCTGTCGTTTCAGATTATTTGCTTTTTCGGGCGCTCCGGCCCCGCCCCGCTTGGTTCCCTCGCGTGGACACTGTTGCGGGCACCGTCACCGCCAGCTATATATATATATATACACAGATATGTATGTATGTATGTATGTATGTAGGTAGGTGGGTAGGTAGGTAGGTAGGTAGGTAGGTAGGTAGGTAGGTATGTATGTATGTGTGTATGTGTGTATGTATGTGTGTATGTGTGTATGTATGTATGTGTGTATGTGTGTATGTATGCATGTATGTACGCATATGTATATCTAAATACATATATAGATCATCCTCCTGCCTTCGTCTGACCTTATCCGCCCCCGCAGGCCCCCGACGTCGTGTCTTTTTGTTCACAGCGTCGACCTCCGCAGGTCTCGGCCCATTTCCCAGGGCTTGGCCTTCCATCCTGGGTCGTTCCTGTTCACGGTCCCGGGCCCGGCGATGGCCCCTAGAAACCGAACATGAAGAGCACACATCCTCCCCATTTCTCCTCACGACGCGACGGGGTCTGGGTCCGTGATTTCCTGATGTCCAGGCGCCCTTCTGCCCGCCGGCCCTCCCCGCCTCCAGGGCTGCTCCTGCGCGTGCTCAACACGTGGCACGAGCGCAGCGGGCTGGACTTCCTCTTCGAGTGCGTGCCCATGACGGCGCGCGCGCGCCCCCCGGCGGTGCCGCGGTCGGCTGGTTGGCCCAGCTAAACTTATGTCGGGCGTGTCCCCCTACAGTGGGATTTTCGACGAAGAGTAAAAAATACTCCAAAGATACTCCAAAAAGGTCAAAAAATGTTCAAACAATAGTCCCCAGACTACGTGTGGACTACTTTTTTTTGGGGGGGGGGTATTTTTCCTGTCGAAAATCCCCCTGTAGGGGGACACGCCCGACTTAAAGCTACACGCAGGAGTGACCTCACGCGGGAGCGACCTTTGGTAATGACGCGGCGCTCGGGAAGCGCGCGGGGGCCAAGTCCCAGCACGCGAGCCTGTACAGTGGGGGCCCATGCCGAGAAGCACCTTGCTTGCCTCCACGGTGCCCTGGGGTTCTTGGGCCTCGAGGGTCTTGTGTGAAGAGCGTGACGCTCCCACACCAGAAATCGATGGACGTCCTGGGGTCTCAGGGTTGGGTTTCTTGTGGAAGGTCCCTTGTGGTCGAGCCCCTACTGCATGGTTCTGACAGGAGCAGATAGGGCAGGAGGAGGAGGAGGAGGCGGAGGAGGAGGAGGCGGAGGAGGAGGAGGAGGAGTCGGAGGAGGCGGAGGAGGAGGAGGAGGTTGGGTTTCTTGTGGAAGGTTTCTTGTGGACTGGCCTCCGGCAAGCCGCGCACCGAGGGCCCCTCCTGCACAGGCTCGCTCCTGCGTGCAGCCGAGTGGTTCGCCCCGAGGGCAAGGGTTAAGTCGGGCCTGTCCCTCTACAGGAGGAAAATCCGAAAATAGTAGAAAAATAGTATGGGGACGATGTTTTGATCGTTTTGGGACTATGTTTGATGTTGTATGTTTTTTCTTTTGTTTTTCGTCCAAGATCTCCCTGTAGGAGGACACGCCCGACCCAACCCGAGAGCAAGGGGTGGAGGTGTGGGGGCTGGGCTCAGGAGCAGACTGACAGCCCCTTCAGCCTGGCATCGCTCGGGCGTGTGCATGTTTTTTTTTTTTCCTCGGCGGGCACCATTGAGGAGCAGCTTGGACCATCGCGTGGCACAAGAAAAACACGCACGGATCCAGGATATGTATGGGAGTTGGACGTCCGAACGATGGCGAGCTTCAGATGGCAGACGTCGGGAGGTTCCCAGAGCGGGTGGTCGTCCCCCAAAGTGGGGTCGGGCCGGGGAGCAGGAACAGACCCAGCTGGAAGCCCGCGTGCTCTTCCTCCAGGGGCCTCTTGCGAGGGCTGCCTGGACGGCGTGAGCGGTTTAAGCGGTTTGGCGTGCAACATGTGAAAAACAAAAAACAAAAAAAACGTTCCCTCACGTTGTTGGCCCTCCTGACTCAGGTCCCCGCCCAAAGGGTGATCGCATGTATCCAGGGGCGCCGATGGTTCATGTCTTCGGCGAGGCTCCCCGGCGGGATGCGTGCAATACCCACCCCTGGGCTCTTCGCCCCTCTCTGCTACTCCTCTTCCTCATGCTGCTGCTGCTGCTGCTGCTGCTGCTCCTCCTCCTCCTCCTCCTCCTCCTCCTCCTCCTCCTCCTCCTCCTCCTCCTCCCCCTCACCATCATCATCAGCATCAGCATCATCATCATCAGCATCATCATCATCATCAGCATCATCATCATCATCATCAGCATCATCATCATCATCATCATCATCATCATCATCATCATCATCATCATCATCATCATCATCATCATCATCATCATCATCATCCTTTTCCTTTTCCTCATCCTTTCCTCCTCCTCCGCCTCCCCCTCCGCCTCCTCCGCCGCCTCCTCTCCTCCGCCTCCTCCTCCTCCTCCTCCTCCTCCACCTCCTCCTCCTCCTCCTCCTCCTCCTCCTCTCACGGCGGCGACGGCGGCGGCGGCGACGACGGCGACGACGACCTCGAGACATGGCAGTCCCGAGACCAGCGGCCAGAGGCTGGGCTGGGCTGGGGCGCCCGGGCGCGGGTTGGGCTGGCCCGGCCGCCGTGGTGATCCCTGCTGTCGGGGGCCTCGAGACGGGGGTCGGTGCAAACGGGGGTCAGCCAGGGCGCCCGATCTTGCAGGATCCTGCAGGGCCAGGGCCGCATTGACCTGGGCCTGGGTGCAGGATCCTGCAGGATCCTTCGCAGTGACCCGGGTTTGGGCGCAGGATGTTGCAAGATCTTGCGGGATTCTGCATGGCCTGATTGGGCTGGGTCTGGATGGACCCGGGTCAGAAGATGCCCCGATGCTGGAGGAAGACCTTCCGTTTCCCCGAAATGGGGTCCGAGTAAATGGGGTCGGAGGATCGCGCCACGTCGCCGGTGCATCGGCAATACGGCTGGATGTGGAGCCCAATTTCCTCAACGCAACGGCGCCATGCACCACGGACGTCGCGGGTGCATCGCGAATGCATCGGCGATGCATTGGCGATGCGACGCGAACCTCTGACCCCATCTACTCCGACCCCACCACCTGCAAGCTCTTTGATCGAGCTGCTTCGACATGCATGTCCTCCTCAGGGTTTCGCAGGCTCCTAGAGGAAGGCAGGGTCAACGTTAGGGCGAGTTGTCGTATGTGTTTTGACGCGTTTCTAAAGTTTTCGGGGCCAGGGCTGCTTTCCATCAGCTGCGTGTCGTCGGGGGCGTCCTGGGGCGACGGAATCGTCCCGAGCTGTCGCCAGAGGCCTGAGTTAGGGCCCGAAGGCCACGGAGCGGAAGGTCAGGGGCAACGTTGGGAGGAGAAAGCGTCAGGGGGGGACAGGGGGACGCATCGACCTCGATCGCCTTTTCATCGCCGATGGGGGCCCGCTAGCTCACCCCGCACAGAAACGTGCGGACTCGCTATCGGGGATCTGTCACCGATCTCTCGGCGATGTGTCGCCGATTCGAGCTCGATGCTTTCCCTCCTCCTCTTCCTTCCTCCTCCTCCTCCTCCTCCTCCTCCTCCTCCTCCTCCTCCTCCTCCTCCTCCGCCTCCTCCTCCTCCTCCTCCCCTCCTCCTCCTCCTCCTCCTCCTCCTCCTCCTCCTCCTCCCCCTCCTCCTCCTCCTCCTCCTCCTCCCCCTCCCCCTCCCCCTCCCCTCCCCCTCCCCCTCCCCCCCCCTCCCCCTCCCCCTCCTCCTCCTCCTCCTCCCCTCCTCCTCCTCCTCCTCCTCCTCCGCCTCCTCCTCCTCCTCCTCCTCCTCCTCCTCCTCCTCCTCCTCCTCCTCCTCCTCCTCCTCCCTTTCTTTAGATCCTCCTGGTCCTTCTCCTACCCCTCCTCCTCATCCTCCTCCTCCTCCTCCTCCTCCTCCGTTTCCCTTCCCTGATCCCGTCACCCCCCAAACGTTGCCCATCAGGCCCCTTGCGGGCTCCAGGGGTCCCCCGAGGAGGGAGAAGGGCGGGCAGGGCGCGGGGAGGTCCGAGGGAAGGAGACGGATGGAGGGAGGTGGTGGAGGAGGAGGAGGAGGAGGAGGAGGAGGAGGAGGCGGAGGAGGAGGAGGAGGAGGAGGAGAAGGCGGAGGAGGAGGCGGAGGCGGAGGCGGAGGCGGAGGAGGAGGAGGAAGAGGAGGCGGAGGTGGAGGAGGAGGCGGAGGCGGAGGCGGAGGCGGAGGTGGAGTCGGAGGCGGAGGCGGAGGCGGAGGCGGGGGCGGGGGCGGAGGAGGAGGAGGAGGAAGAGGAGGAAACTAGATCGCCGCGCCGTGCTGCCCAGGCGCTGTCTACTTCCCCCATCCACGTTAGTGGGGCTTCTCGCAACAGTTTCCCATTTCGCAGTTTCCCTACTGAACCCTCCCCCCCGCCCAGCCGCGGCGACGGGGAGCAGGAGAGGTGGCTGCAGCGAGACCCACGACCGCCATCAGCATCAGCGCATCAGCAGGAGGAGGGGAGGTGGAGAAGGAGGGGGAATAGGAGGAGGAGGAGGAGGAGGAGGAGGAGGAGGAGGAGGGGAGGGGGGACAGGAGGGGGAAGGAGGAAGGAGGAGAGGAGCAGGAGGAGAAGGATGAGGAGCAGGAAGAACTGGAGGGTGAGGAGCAGGAGGAGAAGGAGGGTAAAGGAGCAGGAGGAAAGGGAGGGTGAGGAGGAGGAGGAGGAGGAGGAGGAGGAGGAGGAGGAGGAGGAGGAGGGGGAAGAGCAGGAGGAGGAGGAGGAGGAGGAGGAGGAGCAATCCCTCGTCGATCCCCCATCCCCCATCCCCCTCGCATTCTCCCCCCTTTCAGTCCTTGCTGTGTGTCCTTCCTACGTGCAGTTGAGACGCTAAGTTATGGACCACGTTGGGCTCGGGGGGGGCTGGGTTTCCAGGCTGGTTCCTGGAACTAGTTAGTGGAACCTGCTTGCGACTCAGGATCACAGTGGCAATGGACATGCATGATTTGTTTCATCTGCTTTGTGGTAGCACGATGACGGTACGCTTCACACGAGCGTTTCGGAACGCTCCCAGAGCGTTCCAGAGCGTTCTGAGAAGGCCGCGGCGCCCGAAACATCTTCCAGAGCCGCTGGATCTCAGAGACTGGATGTACCCGCACCCAGTTCTATCCTCGTCCTGGCTCCGTCTGATTGCCCCTCGTCCCCCCAATCCTCCCCCCTCCTTCCCTCCTCTCCTCCTCATTCCTGTGGGAGCCGTGGACTTCGGATGCGGCGCGCTGGCCGCGGGGACCCGCGCGCCCGGGCAGGTCCCGACGGGCCGCTTTCTTTGCTGAGTGGCGGCGCGCAGAGGGTGGTAGGGTTAAGTTGGGCGTGTCCCTCTACAGGAGGAATATTCGGAAATAGTCAGAACATAGTCTGGGGACGATGTTTTGACTATTGTCGACAATTGTTGGGCATGTTTTGAGTCTTGTTGCGCCCAATAAAGCCGCCTGTGGGGGGACATGCCCGACCGATTGGTAGGGGGAGGGGGTAAGGTGAGCGTTGTCTCCTTCGGCGTTTCGACATGGGACGTCCGTCCTGCCATCCTCCGTCCTCCCCCCCTCGATGCTCCGCCCACGGGGGGCTGTACAGTCGGGGCGCTGAGGAAGGAACCCTTTTCGTTGGGGAGGGGCTCGGTGTTCCTTAGTTGTTTTGCAGTTCGCTGTTGGTTTTGCTTGGGGCTTCGATGGGAAATCGAAGTTTGTCTCATGGGAAAAGGGGCCTCGTTCCTTATTTAGGGTTACTTAGGTCAACGCCCCGACTGTCGGAGGCGAGCGGGCGAGATCGAAGTGGAACGGAGAGCCCCCATACCGGGAAATCGATTTCGGTTTCGTGTTCGTGCGTGCCGTGCGGGTGAGGCGAAGCTGCGTGGGCGGGCGAGAGAAAGTCTCCTGTGGCTGAGGCGCGGCCGGACCAAATGTCTCCCTTCCAGGCGGCCGGGGGCCCGCGGTGTCCCGCCGGTGTCCCGCTGGTGTCCCGTGTGGCTGAGGCGCGGCCGGACCAAATGACTCCCTTCCGGGCGGCCGGGGGCCCGCGGTGTCCCGCCGGTGCCCCGTCGGTGTCCCGATTATGGTGATATGATGATGATGATGATGATGATGATGATGATGATGATGATGATGATGATGATGATGATGATGATGATGATGATGATGATGGTGATGGTGATGATGATGACGATGTTGATGTTTTGTTTTGATGATCGATAGTGAGATCGGTAGTGATATCGATTGTGAGATCGAACGTGAGATCGAATGTCAGATCGCTTGTGAGATCGATTGTGAGATCGATTGTGATACCGAATGTGAGATCGATAATGAGATCGATAGTGAGATCGATTGTGAGACCGAATGGGATATCGATTGTGAGATCGATTGTGATATCGATAGTGAGATCGATAGTGAGACCGAATGTGAGATCGATTGTGGAATCTATTGTGAGATCGATAGTCAGATCGATTGTGAGATCGATCGATTGAGTTAGTAGTGAGATCACTATCGGTAATGAGATCGGTAGTGATTTCGATAGTGAGATCGATGATGAGACCGAATGTGAGATCGATTGTGAGTTCGGTTGTGATATCGATAGTGAGATCGATTGTGAGATCGATAATGAGATCGAAAGTGAGTTCGATAGACAGATCGATAGTGAGGCCGAATGCGAGATCGATTGTGATATCGATAGTGAGATCGATAGTGAGACCGAATGTGAGATCGAGAATGAGATCGATGGTGAGCTTGATAGTGAGATCGATAGTCAGATCGAATGCGAGATCGATTGTGACATCGATTGTGAGATCAATAGCGAGACCGAATGTGAGATCGATTGTGGGATCGATTGTGAGATTGATTGTGAGATCGATAGTCAGATCGATTGTGAGATCTATCGATTGAGATCGATTGTGAGATCGGTAGTGAATTCGATAGTGAGATCAATCGAGTGCGACGTTGGTCCCTCCCCCCCCCTCACCTCCTTATCACCCGAAGGGTGGTCTATGCGGTATATGCAGGCGGGATCGGCCGAGGACCCTGGCCCAAGGTATCTCGCAGGGCCGAGGAGGCCAGTCGCCTCGGATCCGCGCGGTCTCTTCCCCAGGTGCAAGGCTAATTCTCACTTGGCGAACGGACACTCCCAATTCCCATCCCCTGCCATCCCCCGTCCACACTGAATTGGGTCACTCCCCTCGTGGTCGGGCGCTCCTCCTCCGCCTCCTCCTCCTCCTCCTCCTCCTCCGCTTCCGCCTCGGCCTCGGCCTCCGCCTCCGCCTCCTCCCCCTCCTCCCCTTCCTCCCTCCTGCCATCCTCCGTTACCCCCCCCTCGATGCTCCGCGCCCTCCCCCCCTTCCTCGCGTCAGCCGTCCCCCTCCCCAGAGCACTGCGGCCCTCGGCCAGCGCCAGTGCAGGGAGCCTCGGAAGGCAAAGCCAAGGAGCACCTGGCCGAAGATCAGCAAGGGCTCCCACGAGGGCGCGAAGTTATTCGCGCTTCGCGCTTCGCGGTCCTCGTTCTTTCTCCCCCCTCCTCCTCGTCCTCCTTTTCTCCCTTTGGGGGGGCGGCGCGAGGGCGCGAAGTTATTCGCGCCTCGCGCTTCGCGGAGCGCGAAGCGCGAAGTTGGGAGCCCTAGATCAGGATCAAAAGACGCGCAGCGGGGTCGGAGCTCGCCGATGCCGTCTGGAAGCGGGGCCCGCCGCCAATCCTCGCGCCTCGATCCGCGCGCGCGCTGCCTCGGCACCCTCCTCCCTCCTCCTCCCTCCTCCTCCCTCCTCCTCCCTCCTCCTCCTCCTCCCTCCTCCTCCCTCCTCCTCCCTCCTCCTCCCTCATCCTCCCTCCTCCCTCCTCCTGGCCTCGAGTGGTCCTCGACTCCCCCCCGCGGGCCCGCGACAGCGGAGGGGGGAAGGGGCGGGGGGCAGCGAGGACTGCCGAAACGGGGCCCGTCGGGGCTCCTGGATGAGGCCCCTGTGGGGCCCAGAAGGGGGCCTGCGGGGCGCGAAAAGGGCACCGTTCTCCCCCCCCATCACTGGTCGCGGCCCCGGTGAGTTCGCGCCCAACAAGCCGAGGGTGGACAGAACCCCCAACAGTGACACGTCGATTAGTGGATTGTCCGTTTTCGGTTCTCGAGAGGGCGCCGCGGCTTGCGCGCGCCAGGTTTGGGCCTCAGGTCGTTTTCACTAAACCACGTTTTACTAAAGGGGGGTCTGTCCATCCCCGAACAAGAGAGGGCTCCCCCCCCGGGAGGTCCCAGGCATCGGGGTGGAGCCGATTACCATCAGGGGCCCGTGTGCTTCTCTCCGGTGGCAGCAGGGCATCCGTCGGGTCCCTCCCCACCGCTGCCCCTTTCCGTCTTCCCCCCGTCGTTGGGGCGCTCGTCCCAGCCGCCCTTGTGCAGGTCTTCATGGTCTGCTTTTTCGGCTTCATGGACTACATGATCCTGTACAAGTGGGTCGGCCCCCAATGGTGGGAAAGAGGGGAGGAGGAGGAGCCAGCGGAGGAAGGATGCAGGAGTGATGAGAGAGGAGAAGGGAGGGAGGAAGAGGGAGGGATAAGGAGAAAGATCAGGAGAGAAGTGGGGAGGGATGATGATGCTGATGCTGATGCTGCTGCTGCTGCTGATTTTGATGATGATGATGATGATGAGGATGAGGATGAGGATGAGGATGAGGATGAGGATGAGGATGAGGATGAGGATGAGGATGAGGATGAGGATGAGGATGAGGATGAGGATGAGGATGAGGATGAGGATGATGAGGATGAGGATGAGGATGAGGATGAGGATGAGGATGATGAGGATGAGGATGAGGATGAGGATGAGGATGATGATGATGATGATGGATGATGATGATGATGATGATGATGATGATGATGATGATGATGATGATGATGATGATGATGATGATGATGATGATGATGATGATGATGACGGCGACGGCGACGGCGACGGCGACGGCGACGGCGACGGCGACGGCGACGGCGACGGCGACGGCGACGGCGACGGCGATGGCGATGATGGCGATGGCGATGATGACGATGACGATGACGATGACGATGATGGTGATGGTGATGGTGATGATGATGATGATGATGATGATGATGATGATGACGATGATGATGGTGATGGTGGTGGTGGTGGGGTGGTTGTGGCGGTGGTGATGATGATGGTGGTGGTGACGATGATAATTATGGCAACGATGATAACGATGATGGTAATGATGCCAATGATGATTATACGGATGAGAATGATGAGAATGATGATACTGACCGTAGACGGGCTAACGGCGATGTAGGTAACGGTGATGTAGGTTTCGGCATTGCGGGGGCGCGTGGCTCACGCTTTCCTGCAATTCGTTGCATCGTGCTCGCTCGACCCGTTCGCGGATTGGAGGTGTAGGGAAGTGTGGTTCGTGATTTCCTACCATCTGGTTCCCAACATCACCATTAAGCAACATCGCTGTTAGCCCAGCCTTGGACTGAGGATGAATATGAGGAGAAGGAGGAGGAGGAGGAGGAGGAGGAGGAGGAGGAGGAGGAGGAGGAGGAGCGAGGAGGAGCGCGAGCGGGCGGACGCGAGTGGAGAGCTCGCACGCGGCACCGGGACTCCCACGCGACTGCGGCGCTCCGCGGAGTCACAAAAGAGCACGTTGAGGCCGTGGCCAGCGCCCGCAGTCCACGACGAGGCTGCCGACCCCGGAGAGGTTCACCAGAGGTTCCTCGGCTCCGCGGCGCAGGCCCAAGGGGTTCTCGGCTCCCCCCGCGGGGACCGTCGGGGCGGACGAGAGGAGGGGACAGTGAAAGGTCGGGGGGGGGTCCTCCTCGCTCCTCCTCGTTCCTCCTCGCTCCTCCTCGCTCCTCCTCGCTCCTCCTCGCTCCTCGCTCCTCCTCGTCCCCCTCCTCCTCGCTCCTCCTCCTCCTCCTCGCTCCTCCTCGCTCCTCCTCCTCCTCCTCCTCCTCGCTCCTCCTCGCTCCTCCTCGCTCCTCCTCGCTCCTCCTCCCCCTCGCTACTCAAGCAATTGTGGCTCAGGTCCATTTTGGCGAGCCCACCTTGTGTGCCTGCACGTGGTGCTTGAGGCACTTCACCCTCGCTCTCTCAGAGAGAGCCGCCGGTGACGACCAAAACAGAAGGTTTCATTCCATCATGTCCCGTGCTTGGTCTCGCTGCGTAGCGCGCAGTCGATGTGAAGACAACGATGTATTGCTGTCGCAGGACCGTGTCTGTCAGGGCTGCAAGCGACAGGTGAAGCTACACAAACCTCGCCCTGGTCCTCCTGCACCTGCAGCCGTCGACCACGCCAGTACAAGCGGTGGCAAGCAGTCGAAGAGTGGCAAGGGCAAGGACAAGGACAAAGAGATCGGTTCGGTCCCCGCATCCTCGCGGGACGTCCCATCCTTGTTGCAGCTTGCAGCCAAGTGCACGGACAACGAGGAGCTGAGGAAGGTTCTGCAGGGCGAGGCGTCCAAGCTGGTACCCGCCCCCGCGTCCACGGCCGACGGCCCTGCTGAAGCGCTACGACGTGCTGTCGGGGCGTGGAAGGACGCGGACCACAAGCACACCCAGGCGGCCAGCAACGTCGTGCGGCTTCAGGTCAACCTGGACACGGCGGTGCAGCGAGAGAAGGCCACCGCCCTTGTGCTCGCCCAGGCGGAGCGGGCCAAGAAGGCGGCCACGGCCGCCATGGCCCACGCCGAGGGCGTAGGCAAGGCCAGCATGTCCAACGGCGACGACGACCAGGAGCAGAAGCTCAAGTTCTCCCTCACCTGGGATCGAGCCATGTTCGACGGCATCGACGACTTGGACTGCGAAGAGAATGAAAGAGCCGAGCTGAAGAAGGTCAAGACCGACCTCGAGCACCTCCAGAACCATTTGACGGGCAAGGAGGCCGAGGTCTCTGCCATGTTCGAGAAGGCGAAGTCGGTCAAGCACGCCATCGCCGAGCGCTTGAAGAAGAAGCGCAGGACCGAGCGCTGCGACGCAGCCGACGGCGACGATGGCACGCGGACCGACGTATCTTCGGCCGAGACTTCCCAGGGCGACGCTGACGGCGGCGCTACTGCTACGGCAGCGGCAGCAGCAGCAGCAGCGGCGACCAGCGTACCCGTCCGCACCGAGGATGACGAGGAGCTGCAGCGCACGGCGGAGAAGATCTCGGCCGCAAAGCTGATGGCCCAGCGCAAGGTACTGGAGGAGCAGGCTGCGAACGCTGCCAAGTCAGTCGGCAAGGGCAAGGGCGGCGGCTCGGTCGACGCCGACGTCCTGGGCAAAGGCAGCGGTCGGAGCTGTTGACTAGGTTCTGCCACAGCGAATGACGGCGAGCAGGCGCCACTCGCGACGGGCACGGGCGAGGTCTGTTCTGAGGGGCCGCCCGCGCATCAGGGGGACAAGCAGGGGGGCTTGTCCACATTTCTGTTCGGCAATATTACCTGCGTTGGCGATAAATCCTGGAGGTTCCTGTCCAGCGGGAAGTTCGACTTTGTGGGAGTGGTCGAGACTCACGTTTCAGTGTCCGACGTTTCAGCATAGGCTCGAAGGGCGGGCCTTAATTTTTTAGCGAACCCCGCCAGGGGCAGAGAGAAGCGAGTTTCGAAGCAGCAGCAGTCGAGGTCCAACGAGGGGGGCGAGTGGATCCTATCAAAGGGCCACTTGCAGATGCACTCATTGCTCTCCCAGGCGGGGGCGAGACCTCTACGTGCTGCGGGGCATCATCATCTTCACTCACTAGCCCAAAACATACCCGGACCCGGGGTCAGCTGGGGTGAAAAGAGCCGCCCGTTAGAGCGTTTTCGGCCTTGCCGCCACCTCGTCTGGGTACGGGTCGGTGCCCGAAACAACCATACATACCCGGACCTAGCTGGGGTGGTGGTTGGGTCACCCCGTCTAGGTACGGGTATGTATGGTGGTTTCGGGAGCCGACCCGGACCCAGGGGGGGTGATGCCCCGAGGGCCCCTTGCCACCCCGTCTGGGTAAGGGTACGGGTATCTTTCGCGCTCGAGATTCACGGATTTCAGGCGGTCGTGGTACACATGAACGGCTATAGCGTGGCCACCATCACCTTCTACGGGCACCCGTCGTACGGTTTCAGAGGGCCCAACGTGGCCAGGTTCCAGAAGTTGGGGCCCCTGCTGAACACCTTGAGCACACCCTGGATCGTCATCGGCGATTTCAGCATAGGCGCCGACGCCATGGAGAAGTCGCAGTTCATGAAACGCTTGCTCGGGCAACCTCGCCTACTACGAGCGGACATCGAGTGCACTTCCACACCGGGCTCCAGGGCGGGCTCGCACATCGACTACCTCATCGTTTCTGAGACAGCCCTCTCATATGTAGCTGCAGTCACTCCTGTCGTTGCCGTGCCCTGGAAATCCCACGCGGGCATCCTGGTGCACTTACGTCGGTTGGGGCAGCAGCTTCAGGCACGGCATTTAGACATGCCTCGCAAGTTGCCGCGGGCCGTGCGCCCTCGCGTCGCCCCGACGCCCGGCTCGAAGAGCAGTCGAGCAAAGGCAGAGAACGAGGAGCGAAGTCGCCAGCGCAGCTCTGCGAGGAAAAAGCATTTCGATGTGTTTTTCAGTGATCTCTTGAAGCCCCCCGGCTCTGAGGAGCATCTTGACCCCGACGAAGCTCGGAGTGAGGCCAGTTTTGACCATCTTGAGGGTCTCGAAGAGGACCCCGATGAAGTAGGTTGTGTTTCCGAGGAAGATCCGTGGGCTCACGAGTCTGAGTTTCATCCTGCTGTGCACGAGGTTGTAGGTGAAGGGCCTCCTGCCAAGTCTGGTGAGCCTCGAGGTTGCAACAGTGTCTCTGGCGCGTTGGGCAAGGTTCCCCAGGTGCCCCCTACTGCTCAGCCTCCGCAAGGTCACGACTTGATTATGCCCCCCCCCCCCCCAGCGTCTAAGTGCAGCAATATTTCAGACCCCGACGGTCCACCCACCCCCGCTCGCCCCCCCCCCCCCCCCCCGAATTGTGACGCCGATTTTTATATCCTCGAGGCCGCGTGGCTAGAGAGCAAGAGGCAGGTAGGTTCCGCCCCTGCGGGTGATACCCCCCCCTTCCCCTCCGTTTCTCCGCTCTGTGGCTTCTTGGTTCAACCCACCTGCAGCCGCGCAGGCCATCTCTTCCTTGCGCGCGTCCTGGGCGAGCACAGCTGAGCTCGCCATTCGCACGCGCCACGGTCTACAGGACTCTCCTGGGCTTGCTCGTCGCAATGGCCTCAGGTTTCGCATCGATGTGGTTCATCAGCAGGAGAGGCAGAGACTTTCGCCTGAACGTGATGTTCGATCGTGCTGGTGGACGCGTCTACATACCTTGCTGGACAGTCTAGCGCGGCATTATAAACGAGGCAATGGGCTGCGTCAACGTCAACGTCTGTTGGAATCCCCCGGCAGGCATGTGGACGATCGCCCAGAGAAAGCACATGCGTTACTTCGCGGTAAAGAACCTAGTTGGCGGAAGAGGCAGCATGTCTTCAGGCACGTCTTGGACGGGGCAGGGACCGATCAGCTACAGCTCCAGTTGTACGCGGACCTGTCCTGTAAGATCCCGGCCAGAGCTCAGAGACGCGCAGTCACTCTTGCGTTGAAAGATTTCGGTTCATGGGTGGAGACAGAAGCAGCCATTGGCAAGCTTCATCGCAACATACGCCAAGAACCTGCAGTTAGTCGCGAGCTGGAGGTTGAGTGGGAGATTCTATACCAGCCATTAGACATCGTGGACCACAAGGCCGAGCGCTGGAGACAGCTTTGGACACAATCTCATGCTGATGCAGGAGCCTTGCAGGAGGCCTTCCGACAGGCTCGTGTGCGTGCTGAGCTTGAACCTCTTCCAGGCATCTCTGGAGAGGACATCCGACGTGCGGCGCGATCCATGGCACCAGGAGCTGGCCCAGGGGCTGATCGAATGTCCCCAGTAGACTTCGAACGGCTCCCCCTCGCCGCCTTGGACGACCTGGCGCATCTCGACATGGCCATTGAGTCGGAGATCGCCTGGCCCCATCAGATCATGATGGCCTTGGGGAGACTTCTCCCCAAGAAGACGCAGGGCGACAGGATCATCGGGCTGCTCTCAATGTTCAGCAGAATCTGGAGCCTCGTGCGCGAGCCTGAGGTCAGGAGGTGGTCAGAGGCGTCAGCGCCTCATTGGGATGCGGCCGCGCGAGGCAACGCAGCCTTGCGCGAAGCATTCATGCGGACGCTCGAGGAGGAGGTCGGGCACCAGCTCGGCATCCCTTCGGGCGCAGGGCTGCTCGACATCGACGGCTTTTACGACAACGTGCTGTGGGAAATCCTGGCGCCGAAAGGTTTGGCTCTCGGTTTTCCTGCAGCCATTTTGTGCTTGGAGGTGCTTCAGTGCGCCGCGCCGAGGACCCTTGGGCAGAGCAGCTCCTGGGCACTCCCGATTGAACCTACCCAGTCGATTGTCCAAGGGCTGCGCCGCGGCACGAGGTTTGGGCGCATCATGGTATACTATGGACTTGATAGAATATGTTCGGCTCATCCTCGGATGGGACACCGCATCCGGGTCGACGACCTAGCCCAACGTGCAGTTGGATCTCGTGCTCAGGTACGACAACAGCTTATTTCCAGATTGAAGGAGACGTTTCAAGGCTTGGCTTCGATGGAATTTCATGTTGCCAGCAAGGGTATTGTTATGTGTTCTCACCATCCCGACGCGGCCAAGGTAGCCAGAGCCCTCCGTCTTGCAGGATTTCACGTTCGCGCTGAACGTTCTGCTGGATAGCTGGGTTCGGACCTTGGATGTGGCAGGCGGCACGTTCGCACTACGCGCAGGAAAGGATACGCCAAGCACAAGATCATGAACTCCAGAGTGCGGCGCCTTGCTCAGGCAGGGCGCAAGTATGCGGTATCTTCCAGGCTTGATCGCCTGGGAGCTCAGGCGGCAGGGGCATGCGGCTTCCAGATCCACGGGGTCTTCGGAGTGCACATGCAGCAGTACAGGCAGCGCCTAGGTGCGGCCATCCCAGCTCCCTCCCGAGGGCGCTGCCTCACGACGCTGCTTCCGATCAAGGCGCCCGTGGACCCAGCGCTAAAGATGCCTGAAGAATGTCTTCGCACTTGATTGGCAAACTGTTCCCGGGGTTCGCCCAGGGGTTTCTCGTGCGTGGTCCTCGCTGGTCGAGAAGTTCAGAGGTATACCATCGGGACAGCGATCTCGGCACATACGAGGACCAGTTTCTGCCATTACCAATCTTCTCTTGAGTCTAGGGTGGGACCCTGTTTCCGCCACAGACTGGACCAGGCCAGCCGAGTCCGCAGGAGGTGAGACAATCGAATGGCATGTTCCTGACCATGTTTGGGAAGGCTGGCCTGACGTGGACGATCCAGGTGGTCTGGTACGTGATATTCAGTATTCCATATCCCGGAAACTATGGCGGGACGCGGCTCAGCATTTTTGTGGAGGATGCACGGAGGAGGGTGTTGATTGTACCTCATTTCGTCGCCTTCACGCCCAGTTGTTGAGTTTGGATCGCGGTAGTCGGTTGTCAGAGCTGCTGGTCACCATAGTGGCAGGGGCCTCGTGGCCTCGGGTCCGTCGGGCCGAGGCTGCTGCGCCCAAGGGTTTAGTCATCGATCAGCTCCGCCCACGTGACGGGCAGGAGAAGGAATGTCAATTTCATCGTATTTGGGGCTGCTCGCACAACACGGGTGCTCCAGCGTATGCCCAATCCGAGTGTCTGGTGCAAGAGGTCTACACCAATTGGGAATCGGCTGAGTGCTTCTGGCTACGTGGGCTACTGCCGTCAAGTTGGATTTCCATTCCCCAGCCAGACGAGGAGGAGCTTTGGTTCACGTCAGGGCACTCGAACGAGGAGGACTCGGTTTGGCTGGGCACAGGCACTTGGCAGCAACCCTTGCACCTCTTTGGCGACGCCAGTGGCGGCAAGTATTCGAGTGATTCGAGGTTCAGACGAGTGGGCCTATCGGTTTGTACCGTGTCCTGCTTCGAGCCGCTGGTGGTGCACAAGACAGTGTCAGGGGCCTTGACTGGACTTCGCCAGTCGGTGCCGCACGGCGAGCTTCGTGCGCTTCTCCTGGCAGCAGAATGTTCATCAGGTTTTGTGGTTTTCACTACCGACAACCAGAATGTGGCCAACGGGTGGGCCGAACGGCGCTACCTGGAGCCAGAAGGTGTTGATGCGGATATTTGGCACCGCATAGGAGTGCAGTTCAGGCAGAGAGACCCAGCCTCGTTTGTGGTGTTATTGGTCAACTCGCATATCGAGGCCTGCGACGTCATGACCCGACGATTTCCCTTGTGGATGGTCTTG